TATATATATATATATATATATATATATATATATATATATATACACACACACATAGATATATATAATTTTAATTCTATATTGATAAGCATAATCTGTGTATATACTTTAGGAAAATATTCGTTATTAAAAAGGGGATATAATTTAAAAAGTAAATTATTGATTAGATTGCGTAATATAATTGTCCTACTAATTGATTTCATACTACTATAATTCATACATTTGAAGCCTTTTAAATATTAATACCTATTAATTGCCTTAATAATTAAGATAATCATTAGTCACATCAATAGTACTAAAAGTGTTACTTTGAATTTTTATAAATAAGTTATAATATTGTTAAACAAAAATAATTTAAAATAATGTGTCCATAGTACAAAAGATTTTATAACTGACCTAATAATTAAATATTAATTTTATTGCATAATACGTATTTTAAATTATTAAACATTATTTATGGTAATTATTGTATGTCATGTAATATTATAGATTTTATAACTGACCTAATAATTAAATATTAATTTTATTGCATAATACGTATTTTAAATTATTAAACATTATTTATGGTAATTATTGTATGTCATGTAATATTATTAATTCTTTTTTTTTTTTTGAATGCTACTGGCTCTATTACATTGTAGTATCTGTTCATATACTTTCTCAACCTACTGAAACACAAAGAACCAATAATGCCTCCACTGAGGCTCGAACTCACAATTTTCCAAATGGAAGTCCAACCCGGGTACCATTAGACCACATAGTCCTGGTGTATCATATTATTAATTCAAAATTATTTAAAATATATAGATTCACATTATGTAAAACCTTATTAATTTCATATATTAAAACTATATATTTATATTAATAGTGAAGTTATAAATAATTAAGTTTCAATAAATTTAGTTATTCCGTAAGTTATATATGCTTAATAATCAATATTTTCCTATATTAGATTTTGCTTATATATGGTTTTCCCATATTAACCATCACTATATTAGATTAATATATAATTCTTTTAATATAATATATTATTAAATCTAAACATATGGTTAATATTTATTCAATATTATTACGAAAGTATTACAATTATGGATTTACAATTTTAGCTTTGTCAATGAAAAACATAGAAATTTGAATAGTTTAAATCAAAATTATCAAAAATAATGTGTAATTAGTAGAAAATAAATTATACTTGTTTTAATATGGATTATTAATCCTTTCAAAAAAACAATAATGAATTATTAATATAAATGCTTAAAATAAATTTACAATTGTTAATAATCATTTATGATAATTATTAGGAATTAAAAAAATATAAATAAAAAAGAAGAAGCAAAACAAAAGAGGAAAGCATGTACAGATGTCATACAATATCTTACAGAGTTAATACCCAAAATCGTCCTCGACTATATTGGTTTTTCTCAATTTCGTCCTAAACGACTTTGGTGACCTAATATCGTCCCTGACTTTTGTGTTTCGCTCAATTTAGTCCTCCATTTGTTATTTCGTCAAATTGGTGTTAAATAAAGGGACAATTCAGTAATGTCAATATTGATCTCTCTTTACTTTCAACTTGTGAAGTGCAGAATTCCTCTTTCTTGTATGAATTACACTCAGAATTACTCCCGGACCTGCAAATCAAATTTTATATTCGCAGTTTTAGGAGCAATTCTGGGAGTAATTCGTAAAAAAAAAAAATGGATTTCGCAGTTCACATGTCTATGAGTAAAGAGATGCCAATATTAAAATTATTGAATTGTCTATTTATTTAACACCAAATTGACAGAATAACAAATGAGGGACTAAATTGAGCAAAAACACAAAAATCTGGGACTAAATTGAGCGAAACACAAAAGTCTGGGACGATATTAGGTCACCAAAGTCATTTAGGACGAAATTGAGAAAAACCACTATAGTCGAAGACGATTTTGGGTATTAACTCATATCTTACATAAGGCAAATTGATATAAAATTTAGGAGAAATTGTAAAAAATACCTCTCTATAATATGGCAATTATCAATGTCACCCTTAAATTATGAGTGGTGTAAATGTTGTCCCTCAATTATTAAAATGTGCACCACCATTTTTTTTGTTTTTTTGTTTTTTTTTTTGTTTGTTTTTTTTTTTTGTTTGTTTTTGTTTTTGTTTTTATTTTTGTTTTGTTTTTTTTTGTTTTTTTTTTTTTTTTTTTTTTTTTTTTTGTTTGTTTTTTTTTTTTTTTTCTTCTGGGGAGTGGGAGGTGATTCTTTTTCTATCCATAGCTTTCACTTTTTATACATTTCATAATAAAGCTTCAGCAACTTTAAGCCTTTAAAACCCATTCCCATAAACTTTATTATAAAAGCTCATTTTATTTATTGATTGTAATGATTCTTTGATAAATTTAAGAGAAATGCTGTTTAAAAGCATTGGTTAACAATGTTTAGATTTTGAATAACCTGAATATGGGATTGTTGGTGATACAACACATATATATTATAATATAAAACACAAATGGGATAATGACACTCTTCTTAATTTTAACCTCCTTTGTATTTTAGCAATGGAATAATTGCATAAAATTGAACCAAAGGTTAATATTGATCGATTTTTTTTAATTTTTTTTGAAAAAGGAATTTATTGAAATAGAAAGTGTGTACAAGGAGTCGAGGAGTTCAAGGAGGTCTAGGCTCCATACAAAAAAGTGAAAACAGAAAAACCTGTAACAAAAAGTAATGCTAAGAATAAAGTTAAAGACATTTAATTTTGAGGAGTATAAAAGAGACTATGCGTAGTGTGATTATAACCATGGGATGTATCTAATTAAAGGCACCAAGTAACGACAAAATCGACTATTAGCCTAACAAACTATGTACTTTGTAGTGTGAATAAAAAGGGGAAAATGACTCTTTTTCCTATAAGTTATATGCTTATAACATTTTTTCCCTTCAGTTATTCATATATTCATATATTCATATTTGTCTCCTAAATCATATTAAAAGTGGTAAGTTTTCTCCTTTTATGTTAAATGGACATTTTTACCCTTAAAACAAAGTATTTTATTTATTTTTCTTCTCCAATAAATTATTGCTTATATGTACGGATGATCATGGTTTGGTTCGAACCTAACCGGATATTGTAGCAACCAAATCAAAACAGTAGGGGACGATTCTTGTTACGATTTAGAATTGAAAAAAATAAAATAAAATAAAATAAAATAATTTTTGAATTTAGATTATTTTAAAAATAAAAAATAGAATTTACAAAAATAAATAAATAAATTTTGAACTGGCAATAAAATAAAAAACTGTTTGAACTGAATCGTGGTCATCCATACATATAATTAATAATTTGTCGGAGAAGATAAATAAATAAAATACTTAGTTTTACGGGTAAAAATGTCCATCTAACATATGAGGAAAAACTCCCACTTTTAATATAACTGAGGGGTAAATGTGGATACATGAATAATTCAGGAGGAAAAAATACTATAAGCATATAACTCGGGAAAAGTGTTGTTTTTTCCAAAAAAAAAAAAAAACTGTGAATTAGAATAATTTTTAAAAAAAATGCGCCACGCATTAGCAAAACAACTAATCGCCTAGTAAATAGTAATGATTGAAGGACACTTTTTAAATTATGCATTATCATGAAGTGTATAATAGATATCCTGTAAAGATGAAGCAAAAAGAGCACAATGTAAAAAAAGATGAGATGGTAGCTTTAGAGACCAAAATTATACAAACATAATACATTTTATGACTAAAATAACTTTTATCCCCTTTTTCTTTTTTTACATGGAATATTACACAGAATAAAAAGAAAAGTATTGAATTGACAACCTTATCGCATACTCTTAAAGCACTCATTAACAAAATCCAAAATATAATGATTGAGCACTTAGCTGCATGCTCTTCAATTCTAGCCATTTGTTTTGCCACAAATATAATTTCGAAAATGATATGTTGTTGGATTGTTTTTGGGATCTGTAACTGACATATGAAGAATAGCTACATATAATAATACTAACAACAACAACAATAATAATAAAATCAAGTAAGCCATTAAATTTTATACGAAATATAATTATGCATGTGAATTTTAAAACGTTGCAGTTAAATACATTAACTTATTATTTTTTATGTATTTGAATTCAATAACCAATTACCATTTAGTAAAATTCAATTGATGACAGACTATTGAACTGAGATATACAAAATTACAAATTAATGTATTTAATTATATTATAACCTTTTTAGCATTTAAAAATCTAATTATTATTTTTGTATAAATTTCAACTTTCTATTTCACCATATTGATTATTTTAAATGATTTTTGGTTCTTGCATGCATGAATGCGTAGATGCTTCTCTACGCTTCTTGGTTTCCCTATAGGCTATAGACTATAGTAGTCCTATAAAGAATCCACCAAAAGGATCCCAGCAAATATTCCGTACGTAGGACCATTTTATGTTCTTTAAAATGTCTCCTCAAATGTTTGTGCAAATTATTTCTCTTATTGGGATAAGGATTTCAATTTTACAAATATTTAATTTTTTTTTTCAAAATGTCAAATTTATAGGGGTGTTTGGTAAATAGCTGTTAGCTGATTGGATTAGTGGGTTTGATTAGTTGATAGTATTGACTGATTGTAGAAAGATGTGATGAAGTAAGAAGAAGCCTCCCTACCAAAATAACAAAGACAGAAGGAATGCAGCTACTGGTTAGAGTTTATAAGCCTAAGGGCTTTCTTGTCATTTTTCTACATTTTGGCAGTTATAATTGCCTTTCATCCTCCTGTGTATAAAGGAGCTTCTATGCTCTTCTTGTCCAGTTGTTAGAACATCTCTCATCTTCTGTAAACTTAGATACATAATACACTTTTGCTTTCTTCTTGTTAAGATCTGAGCCAGTACAACATGGTATCAGAGCTTCATCGTAGCTATGCCGCAACGGTAATGGCAGAAGATGGTGAAGGAAACTCTACTGGATAGCAAACATGAGGGTTTTCAAACCAGAATCAGATGAATTCCAATTCAGCTCAGTACAATCCTGATGATCCTATGTATTTGCATGTGACTGAGAATCCTAATCTCATTCTCATATCTCCACCTCTATCGGAGATCAACTATGCTTCCTGGAGTTGTTCGATGAAGATCGCATTGGAAGTAAAGAACAAATATGGTTTCGTAGATGGAACTATTGTAAAGCCTGCAGAAACAGATCCTAAGTATCCGATCTAGAGGAGGTGCAACAATGTCGTCTGCTCTTGGCTATTCAAGTCACTCAGCCCTATAATTGCAGAAGGAGTACTCTATTTTGAACTTGCAGCAGAAATCTGGAAAGTCCTTGAAAAGAGATACTCCCAAGTGGATCCTCACAGAATTGCAGAAATACAAAATGAAATCTACAGGAGTTCACAAGGTAACTTGTCTATCAATGAATATTTCACCAAGACTAATGCCTTATGGGTTCAATTAAATGCAATGAGCTGAGACATATTCCTACTTGTGAGTGTGTATCTAAGTGTTCTTGTGCTCTTGTGAGTAAGATTAAGAAGGAGAAAGAAGAGGATCAAATCATTAGATTCTTAGAAGGGCTTAAATGAAGAATATGAGAATATCAAGTCAGGTATCCTTGTAATGGAACCTATTCCAGTCATAGAAAAAGTGTTGAACATGACTCTAAAGATGGAAAGAAAGCTTAAGAACTCAATCAATATCAAATGCAATGATTTGGCTCAGGCCATTGCTGTGCAAAATGATCAGGCTCAACACTCAGATGAACATATCATGATTGCAACATCAAGTTCATATAACAGAAAGAAATTCACTACTGGATCACAAAAAAATGTGCCTAAGTGCACATTTTGTGGGATGTTAGGTAAGTAGGTCACACCATTGAGAAATGTTAATAAAACATGGATACCCCCCTGGGTGGGTACCAGGTTACAAATCCAAAGGCAAGCAGAACCAGGATACTCAGCACAATCTCAGTGCTTCTGTCAGTCAAGCTAATAATGTTGGTTTATCTCCTGATCTTCAAAGACTCTTATCTCTGTTGCAAAATCAAAAGCAAGGAAATCAGTCCTCAACCAATGCAGCTGTGACAGTCAACAATGTTGGACTGATTCCAGATTTCAGAAACTCTATGGGGAACAACCACAATGAAGGCAGGTCCATCTATGATTCTTATGTTAACACTGTCTTGAATTCTTCTAGTGTTTGGATTCTAGATTCAGGAGCAACAGATCACATTGTTTGCTCCTTGGAATATTTTGAAACTTTTCATGCTGCTTATGGAGTCTTGGTTAAATTGCCCAATGGGGACACAATGAAGGTCACACACATAGGACAAGTCAGATTGCACATAAACATACTGTTGAAAAATGTGCCATTCATCCCATCTTTTCAGTTCAATATCATATCTGCTAGCAAATTAACAAAGGAATCAAAGTATGAGATTGTTATGAAGACTGACTCTTGCACCCTTCAGGGACATCTTGGGATAGTGGATGGTTTTTCTAGTGAGAAAGGTGGACTATACCTGATTACCAACCCCCCTACAAAGAAGAGGGCCTGTTTTTCCAGCACTGTTTTTGGTTCTCTCTGTAATAATCTCTCTATAGAGAAATGACACAATAGACTAGGTCATTATCCTATGAATAAAATGCATCTGTTAAAAGGAATAAAACTGTTTCTCCCTCATAAATTTCCTTCTTTTGTGTGTGATACTTGTCACTATGCCAAGCATAAAAGATCCATTTTCCCTATTAGCACAACTAAGGCTGAAAGCTTATTTGATTTAATTCATATGGATGTTTGGGGACCATTCTCTGTGGGTTCTTTGAAAGGAGACCACTACTTTCTAACCATTGTAGATGACCACAGCAGATTCACATGGTTGCACTTAATGAAGCATAAGTCAGAAGTGAAGTCCATATTTCAGAATTTTTACAACCATGTCTGGAACCAGTTTTCAGTTAGAATTAAGATGGTAAGAACAAATAATGGGGGAGAATTCATGTTAAGCACCTTTTTCAATGAGAAAGGAAACTTACATCAAAGATCATGTGCTTATACACCTCAGCAAAATGGGTGGCTGAGAGGAAACATCAGCATATTTTGAATTTTGCTAGGGCATTGAAATATAACTTTTGGGGCCACCGTGTTCTACATGCATCCTACTTGATCAATAGATTACCCACTGAAGTCCTCCATGGCAATAATCCCTTCCAAGTACTATTTGAAAAAGATGTGGATTATGGCAAGCTAAGATCCTTTGGTTGCTTGTGTTTTGCTGCAACCATCTCACAAGGAAGAAACAAAATGCAACCAAGAGCCAGAAAAGCCATCTTTCTAGGTTTTCCAGCTAATATAAAAGGTTACATATTGTTTGAATTGGCTAATAAAGTTACCTTTGTATCCAGGGATGTCATCTTTTATGAGCAAATCTTCCCGTTCAAAGGAGATCCTGGGCCTCAACACAGTAATGCCACACTAGAAGGTTTTAATCCTTCTTTGCCTCTAATTCCCATCTCTATTGAAATACATGCTAGCATGTTACAGCCAACCAATGATGAGCCAACTAGCAGGGATTCCAGTGAAGAGAACCATAATCACCACACTGATGAGGTAGTTAGTACTGATAGCCACTCACCAGGGTTCTTCACATAACATCCAACTCACATAGATGATGTCTCAGAAAGTCCTGAAAGCAATAATGTGCCAGAAAGTCCTTATGCATATTTTCCCAAAGAATAACTCACCAGATGATCATATTGAACAACCACAGCTTGAAATTTACCTGCCAAATGGTCTTAGTGATCAGCCATAACCTATAAAATCAACAAGAGATAGGAAGGCCCCTCTTAAGCTGCAGGATTATCTATACCAATCAAGCATGGTACAATGTGATACCAGGACATCACCACACTCTATTCATAAGGTCATATCATATGACAACCTATCTCTTAACTATATGATTTGTGTATCTTCTATAGCCTTTGTACATGAACCTCAATCATACAAAGAAGCTGTAAAATCTGAAGAATGGAAACAGGCTATGCAGGCTGAGATAAAGGCCCTAGTCTAGAACAACACATGGAGTCTGACAGAATTACCAAAAGGAAAATCTCACATTGGTTGCAAATGGGTTTACAAGGTAAGCATAGGGCAGATGGTTCTATAGAGAGGTACAAAGCTATATTGGTTGCCAAAGGGTACACTCAACAGCTAGGAGTGGATTACATTGAGACATTATCTCTTGTGACTAGAATGACAACTATTAGAACTTTTTTGGCATTAGTTGTTGCAAGAGGTTGGGATATTCAGCAACTTGACTTAAATAATTCCTTCTTGCATGGAGATTTAGAGGAGGAGGTTTACATGGTACTACCTCCAGGGTTCCAAACCAGCAAATCCAATCAAGTGTGTAGACTACTGAGGTCCTTATATGGACTCAAACAAGAAAGTAGGCAATGGAATGCCAAGCTCACTAAAGCCTTACAAGACAATGGCTTTCATCAATCCTCAGCAGACCCTTCCTTGTTTACAAAGCAATCAGAACACTCCTTTACTGCTTTATTGGTCTATGTAGATGATATCCTTGTTGCAGGCACAAATCCTAATCAGATAAAGGAGTTGAAACATTTTTTAGATAGATCTTTTAAGATTAAAGATCTTGGTGCCCTAATCTATTTTTTAGGCATTGAGGCATTCAGGAACACAGAAGGGATCAACATCTATCAGAGGAAATATACTTTGGAAATCTTGCAGGAGAATGGATTCTTGGAAGCTAAGCCTGCAAAGACACCATCTGTTCCAGGTCAGAGATTAACCTCTTTGGAAGGTAATCTCCTTGCACAACCTGAAGTTTTCAGAAGATCGGTTGGCAAGCTGTTATATCTAACTAACACCAGACCTAACATAACATATGCTGTTCAACAACTCAGCCAGTTTGTAGACAAACCAAGAGACACTCATCTGGTTGCAGCTCATAGAGTGTTGAGGTATCTCAAAGCCTCACCTGGAAAGGGTCTGTTCTATCCCTCAAATCCCCACATCAAATTACAAGGCTTCTCTGATTCAGAATGGGCAACTTGCGTAGAAAATAGGAAGTCCATAACAGGTTTCTGCATTTATCTGGGAAACTCTTTGATCTCATGGAAGACCAAGAAACAAGCTACTGTCTCTAGGTCATCCTCAGAAGTAGAGTACAAAGCACTAGCTTCAACAACTTGTGAGATTCAATGGCTCTTATATATTATAGCAGACATGAAAGTTAAAGTGAATAATCTTGTGGCCTTATTCTGTGATAATAGTTCTGTTGTTGCCATAGTTGAGAACCATGTGTTTCATGAGCACACAAAGCACACCGAGATAGATTGTCATGTGGTTAGACAAAAGATTAATGAAGGGGTGATCAAACTCCCAAGTGTTACTTCTCACAATCAAATTGCAGATGGCTTCACCAAAGCCTTTGTTTGATGTGTTTCACTCTAAGCTGGACCTCCAAGACCTTCATGTTCCAGCTTACGCGGGGGGGGGGGGGGGGGGGGGGAGGGGGGGAGGGTTGATGAAGTAAGAAGAAGCCTCCCTACAAAAATAACAAAGACAGAAGGAATGCAGCTACTGGTTAGAGTTTATAAGCCTAAGGGCTTTCTTGTCCTTTTTTTTTTTTTTTTTTTTTTTTTTTTTTTTTTTTTACAATTTGGCAGTTATAACTGCCTTTCATCCTCCTGTGTATAAAGGAACTTCTATGCTGTTCTTCTCCAGTTGTTAGAACATCTCTCATCTTCTGTAAACTCAGATACACAATACACTTTTGCTTTTTTCTTGTTATGATCTGAGTCATTCCAACAAGATGTTTGGTAAATTAGTTATTAGCTGATAGCTTATTATATGCAAAATGACTTTCTCAAAAAGCTAATCGAAAAAGTTGGTTTGAGCAGCTTTTTGAATTTTAGTCTTTTAAAGTAATAAGTTGTTACAAAAAGCTAATTAACCAAACACTTATATTAATTGTTTAATCAGGTGAAACAACTAATAGTGATCAAACAAGTCAAAATTAATTGATATACTAACTATTTTACCAAACATGAGTATAATCTATTTGAAGATAATATTAGGTAATCATAAATTTATTTACACCTAGTCAAAGAGTTGAAATTAATCATTATAAAGTTAATTATAATCTTTTCTTAAAATTTTTAACTCTAAACTTAGCATAAAGTACAAAATTAGTCATACAACTAGTGGTTTGAAATAAGTCTCCTTCCGTCCTATGAATAGTTGCTCTCATATGATCCATGTGAGTCGAGTTTTAATGTATTATAAAAATTTCAAATGCTAAAGGTCGATCATCAAGTTTGAGTTTTGAGATTACACACTTACGTAATAAATGTATTATATTAAATATTTTAATAACTTAATAATTAATAATATGTATTATATACTAACTGAAAGAATTGAAGTTAATTATTTGATTTTTTTTTTTAAAGGGCTTGAGTTCAAACATTATAAATAGAGTATAGTAGGCATGCTGCATGCATATGTAAAATCTAATTGCAATTAGAGTAAAAAAGTGATGTGTGATTTAAGAAAAATGATTCTTTTTTCTATTACATTTGTGTATGGTAAGAGACCGAGTAACAAATTATAAATAACTTATTAGGTGATCTCTCCTTGGTACAAATCTAATAAATGAAATTGGAAGTTTTCTGTACAAGCCTCTGGTTTTCACACTTGGAGTTAATATATATACCTTAAAAAAAGAAAAGAATAAATAAATAATAAATAAATAAGTGAAGAATTTCAAAGGAAGAAGTACGATATGTGTTGGAATGTCACACAAGCAATTTTTCCAACAATATGTACAGTAGTTGAGGCAGCCACCATCTTGGACTACTAAACCAGCTCAAATGCATGCAAACACTCCATAAGTCCCTTTTATTTTGTTTTCATATTGATTACCCTGATAATTGTATCTTTTAAAGCAAAATTAGTGTTATAATTTTTATTAGTTGTGTATGAACTACTATATATTTTTACAATTAAAAAAATTATAAAACTTTCCTAAGTTTATACAATATAAGTAATTAGAATTATAAATTTAAAGAATAATGATGAATTTTTTTATGATTTTACCTACTAATTTTTACTTTCTTATGTTGTAATACTTGGACGATGTTTGGCAAACTTTGGTGTAAAGTTATAGCTAGAAGTTGAAAGGTGAAGAGTTGTTAAGTTTGCTAATTATACTTAGTGTTTGGTAAAACTAACTTTTTGATAAGCTGATAAATGTAAAAAGACTAAAAATGACATTTTCATAAAATTTAAATAGTTTAAAATTGAAATATGTTTGTTTACATATTAAAAAATTTAACATTTTCAAATGAAACTATTATCATAATCATAATCTAGCACCCCATAATAAAGTAGCAATATTGTTGCGAATCTCCTTCATCTCAATAGAGGTCTGACTTAAATTTTTGTTGATGGAGATATTATTATTTGAATCTTCAAGTTCATTGGGCGGTATGTAATCTGGATGTTGCTCAAGTAAATTAAATACTATGTCATATTGTGAACAAAAATTAAGAATACTACGTTAATTTGTTGACTAAGCTAGCGACTGTGGCACATGATTCTGCGAATCTGAGTAGCTTGAACACTAAAATAGCTAGCTAATTGTCTGTATATATTTTAATATAAAATTCAAATTTAAAAGAAATGAAAAGAAAATATAAAGAAAAATCATACCAACTAGGGATCTGAATACTTGTTCGAATGAAGATGAAGGAGTTGTTGGGTGGTAAAGAGTTGTGGAAGAGGATGAATAAAAATATTGGAGAAGAGAAAATGTCAAAAGAGTTTTAATCAGGAGGGGTAAATAATGTCATTTATTTAAAATAATAAGAGTAAAGATGAAAAAAAAAAAAAGTTTAGAAGCTACTAACTTATTATTGAAGCGCTACTTAGGATAACATTTCAAAATAAATTATTATTTTAAGCTACTTATTTGAAAACATTACTAAACAGAACTTATAATTTATTAGTATGGTAACTTAAATAAATTATAAGCTCTTAAATAATAGCCAATTGACACGCACTATTCTGTAGATAAAAAGAATTTTACTCCCATGTCAAGAGGTAAACATTAGGAGGAAAAATCAAAACATGATAAAGATATGGAGTAGTATCATTTTAAATCCAATAAAGAAAGATACTCCGATCCATATGCCTTTTTATCTTATTTACATGTTTTGTTTAGCATTTAATAGTGAGAAAATGATCAAATAAGTCCTCAAACTTTATCTAAAAAATCAATTAGGCCTTCAAACTTTTTAAAATTACAAGTAGGTTCATAAACATGTCAATTTAGTTCATCAAAGTTACTTACCTGTCAGTGACTTGTAATACCAGGTCACTTAAATTCCGGTGGTTGTCCAGCAATAAAAATCAACGACGGAGACCAAGGTGTCGCCGGAGAAGGCGTGGCCATCTTCGACGACGAGATATGGCGACCAAACTGGTCGCCATCTCCTTGGGACGGAGATGGCGACTAAAATGGTCGCCTTCTCCGTCCTGGAGATGGCAATGCCTTGTTTTCCGTTCAAAATTTGAGGGTTCAATTGACTTTTCAGGTAAAGTTCGAGAGCCTATTTGATCTTTTATCTTTAATAATAATATTGGCCAAACTAATTCTTCTTTCTAGCTTATTTTTTAACATCTTATAATTTTTAAATTTGACTTTTTTATATTTAATATAGACTTTTAATATCGTTTCTAAATATATAAATTTTATGCACTAATATTGAACTAAATGTTATAAAACATTGATTATAAATAATGTAAATCAAGTCTCATTAATAAAATTAAATAATAAAAATGGGATGGAGAAATTATTAAATATATTTGTAAAAAAATTAAAGTCTAACATAGTAACACATCAATTGAAAATCATAGAAAGATCATATTTTATATATTGAAAGGAGGGGTGGAAATAGGAGAAATGGTAGGAAGGATATCATGCATGCATAGGAATCAACACTGTGATCACACACACACATAGAAACCAAAATTTAAAATAAACAGGGAAAAATGACAATCATCCTTTGAATGATGATAACGATAAGAAGAAAGTTTTGATTCTCCTCCACTACTCTTTCTTTCTTTTTAATTTTATATTCATATAGTGTGTGTGTGTTTTGGAATTACTTTTTGACTTTTTGCAGTTTCCAAAACCCCTTTAAAAGATTAGCCAACTATGTATGTATAGGTCGGCCTGAATTGTACATGTGTGATGGTGTCTACTCATCCTATATTTCAGCCACCCCAATCATACATCTGATCTGCCACCTCGATAATGCTATCAATTTCATCAATTTATTTCGATCGATCACATGAGAGTAGGTGGAGATATCAATTTAGCCTGAACTCTATGGGTTAATCCGATGAAATCGAATTCGATAGGGCTATGACCCGAACGGATTAGATCGATAAAAAACATTAGTCCGATAAGCCCGATAGCCCGATAGGACTAGCTCGGTATCCCAAACTATTAAAACTATTCTTTATTATAGAAGTGATGTGAATCCTAACATACATGGAATAATTATTATAATTAAAAATAAATAAATAAATAAATATATATATATATATATATATATATATATATATATATATACATAATTTAAATTAAAATTTAAGTTTTTAGATTTTTAAATTTTAAAACAACATTAATTATAATATTTTTACTAAAAATTGACTGAGAACGTACGGGGATTCTCTGTCCCTGTCAAATTCTCCGCGGAGACGAGGATGAGGAGTGTTTTCAATTTTCCGTCGAAGATGGAGACGGGGAGTATACTTCCCGCCCCGCCTCGTTGGCATCCCTACTCTAAATATGGATACTCACTTTCAGTTTCTAATTTTAATTCAGATGGTTCAACCCGCCCGACTAGCCCGACAACCCGAAGTTTAGGGTTAGGGCCAAACCGAACCGAACCCGAGAATAAAATATTAATAAACCGATTAACCCGACAACCCGACAAGGCTAGCCCGAAACCGAGTGGGCTGGCCCGATTGACATCCCTAAGAGTAGGTAAATAGAATATATTATTTACGGATAAAGGTCAAGTAGGCCACCCAACTGCACATTAAAGTACAATTAGGCCACTGAACATTAAAAAAAAAATGTAATTGGGTCCCTAAACAACTCAAAATTATGCAATTAAGTCCAAAATGATCTGTTTACCTGAAATTGTAAGTTACCGATTTTAAAAATAATTTTTTTAAAATTAATTTTAAATAAAATAATTAATTAAAATTAAAATAAAATAAAATAAAATAAAAAAACTAAACCTGCTGGAGACGATTCGCCTCCGACAGGCTTCGTCTCCATGGCCGGAGAAGAAGAGCTTCGCCTCCGGCCATGGAGACGAATACCTTCGTCTCCCTGGCCGTGGAGACGAAGGTCTCTTTGT